ACCAAGACAAACTTTTCCCAGCAGAAGAAGCAAAGCCAAAAAAGAAAAAAATCGAATCACAACAGACCCTACAAGAAATGATAGAAGCTGCAAGGAAGAAAGAAGAACTTGAACAAGGCACCTCTGGCAGCGTGGAGAGACTTGAATCAACAAGAAAAGAAGTTATACTGGAAGCAGAGTTGGAGCAGGCAAAAAGGGAAATGATTGATCAAAGAGAAAAAAATTACTATGTGCAAAAACATTACACAGTTTCGAAAATGAGTGAGGAGGTTTTGAAGATGGAAACTGGGCTGCCAACAAAGGAAGTTTTTCAAATTGTTGTCAACTATGCAGCTAGGTTTAAACAATCCATCAATTACTTTGCTGGCTGGAGAGTGCAATCAATCAGTTTTGAAGAACAAATATTTATAACATTAATGAAAGTCAGACAGAATTACACAAATCTTCACCTTGCACAGTTATTCAATTGCAGTGTATCTACAATAGCAAATATTGTAACAACTTTCATTCATGTCTTACACTCAATTCTATTTATTGACCTCATGGCATCCATCCCATCTAGGGATAAGAACAAGCTGTGTGCCCCATCATCTTTTAGTCAGTTTGGTTCATGTAGAGTAGTGATAGATTGTACAGACATAGAGATTGCCACACCTGGGCTTATGAGCCAGCAGAATGCTACGTATTCAAATTATAGGGGAATGCATTCCTTCAAGGTTATTGTGGGTGTAGCGCCAAATGGTGTTATTACTTATGTCAGCAAACTTTATCCAGGGTCAATATCTGACAAAGCAATTGTGCAGAAATCAGGATTTTTAAATCACCTTACTGCTGGAGATATGGTCTTAGCTGACAAAGGTTTTGTTATACAGGATCTTGTACCAAATGGTGTTTCAGTAAATATACCACCTTTTTTAAACAATGGTACATTCACTGAGAGTGAAGCAAGGGCAACAAAAGTTATAGCAAAATGCAGAATTCATGTTGAGAGGGCAAATGCTAGGCTCAAAGATTTCAAGATTTTATCTTTTATTCCCTCATATTTACGTTGTCATGCAGATATAATATTTCAACTCTGTGCTTCACTTGTTAATCTGCAGTTTCCACTGATCAAAGAGGGCTGTGAAGGATATGAATTTGATTAATGAACTAATTATTTTTCATATAAGGAAAATTGAATACTTTGTAAAATACATGTTGATCTGTTTGTTTTATTCAAAAAGTAAATCTGCTATCATTGTTGAATTTATGGATGCATGTATAATTTCAGCCCAACAACAGTTCACTACAACAGAGCAGTACAGCTCAACTGTGAAACAATGAAGTGCAAAAACTGTAACTGTTTCTAAAGTTAGTTTGAGTAAACCAGGAGAGCCCTGTTGGGATTTGAAGATCTGTGTTCCTAAAGTTACTAGAGTGAACTTAAAAGTACACCTGAGCTCCCAATACCCTCCATCTGAAAAGCCTCCCTATCTCAAGAAATTCCACAACAACATGCCATCAGTGAAGACTAAACACCAAAGGGCTCCTAATGATTCCTGAAAATTATTATTTCTTAAAAAATAATTACATGCAGTAATAGATCTGGAAACCTATAATTGTCCCTCTACAACCTTTGGGAAGAGGTGTTCAAAATAAAACTGAGTAAGCTTAGAAATGTTTCCACTCCAGCCTTCATCCTTTGCTATTTTCAAAACAACTACATCTTTAGATGTCCACACAACAAAATAGCAAAGCTTCCTTTGAGCAAAATGTATCTCCCCTTGGACCTGATGCCAGTAGACATGTTCTTCCTTTAAAGCATACTGACCACTTTCAGTTTTTTTCAAGCAGAAATTGGGGGAGATATTCACTGCCTCTTCCATTGTCATATTCCTTTCGGTGTAGGGACACTTGACCTCCAAAACAGAGTCTTCATCCACAATTCCATCTGGGGAAGCACCAAGAATCCCAGAGCCATCCAGCCATAACCCAGTTTCCTGTACAGTTTTTGCAGTTAAATTGGTAAATGCCTTAATCGCTTCTGCCTCGTTGTTTACCCCCCATTGTACTGCCTTAACTCTTGATATGTCATACTCTCCAAGGAGCCGTTTGAGAAGTGAAGGGGTCACTCTTTTGGCATGCAGAACGGATCCAAAATTGCTTGCTGTAAGCCGTCCCCTCCTTGCAAGATGCCAGGTTGGGTTGTCTCGTTGGCCTACAGTTATCTGACTGACTAACAGGATATCTGCTTCTGTGAGTTTGGCTTTCCGAACCAAACAGTCCAATTGTTGCTGTGTACCTCTTGTTTGGATAAACTCCTCTGAGTAGATGATTTCCTCAATTGTTGGCACAGGCAATTTGGCTTGGGGAGCAGGCTCTGGGCACATGAGCCAGCAAAGACCAGTGAACCTCCCATATGCCTTTAAGCTTCCATATAGTGCCTGACGATCTTCTGTGTTGGGAGATCGAGTAATCGCCACATAATTCTTTGGCAGAGGGAACAGTTCTTCGACTGCCTGTAAAGACAGGGAGGTATTAGACTTCTTTTTCCTCCACTGACATTCAATATCTGTGCGGCTTAAGTTGTGAATCCCATTTATAAAAAGAGCCGCCGCGTGACTGCATTTGAATTTTCCCTTTGGACATTCACACTCCGTGGATTTTATGTTGAAGTGGTCATCCAGGTAAATCTAAGTGGTAATTAAGATAAAAGTTCAAACAAGGTGAACTCATAAATGTCTTGGTAACACTATTTCATATGAATCATAATCTGTACGATTTAAGCCTCAGCCTGGCTTTTTTGATGAGGGAAATCGACAAGATCGAAAATATATATTTCTAAATTGGGGGAGTAGATAACAAGAAGGTACTTAAAAGATATTTAAAAATATTCCTTAGGCTTCTTAATGCGATTGGTGACTCTAAACTCACCGTGACTCGATAGACCTTTTTCTTCATACTTGCTTGAACCTCACCGCGTAAAATACCCTGATGGTAAGAAAATGACTCAATGTGTTCAGATCTGTAATGATTTTCTCCTCGTTCGATTGACTTCTTTTCTTCAGCGAAGAAAGATATCAGTGCAGCGATTGAAAGCGACGCCATTTTGGCTCTGAGCACGTTTGTTTAGAACAGAAAATTCTGCTCCCATGGTAATGTGACGTAACGGCTTTAGAACTCAATATCCTAGGCTCAGATGGCCTAAATTATGTAAATAAGCATAAGCTGGTTTGAGCAACTTTGTGAATATACGAGGTGCACTAGAAAGGCCATTTGGCAGGCATGTATATTGATACAGTTTACCGTCAAACAAAAACTTGAGGTATTTTTGATGTTCCTCTGCGATGGCTACAGTATAGTAAGCATCCTTAAGGTCAATTGAAGCCATGTAGCAGTCAGGCTTGATAACTCTTATGGCAGATTCTAATGTGTCCATTTTGAAATGGTGGTATTCTACAAACTCATTGAAGGTTTTCAGATTCAATATGGTTCTATATGAGCCATCCGGTTTTGCTCTTAAGAAAATAGGGGAGATAAACTCCCCATGTTCATAGTGCGACTCTTTGATAACTCCTTTTTGGAGATGTTTATTTATTTCTTCATGCACAATTAGTTGTTCTTTCGAGTTAAATATACTCGGTCTTGCAGAAATTTGTGTAGGCTCACAATTCGGTGTAAATTCGAGAAATACACCTTTCACAAATTGAATGATCGTAGGGTCATTCGTGATTTCGCACCAGCTGTGCACAGCTGATGTAAGTTGTCCTGCCCTAAAGACAGTTTGGTTTTCAATTAGTCGCTTGACCTCGTCATAAGCAGAATTACCCGAGCAACAAACGTTTAGGCTTACCTGGTTACTTGGTTATGCCCTCCTTTTTCCCTTTCATCGGCGGAGAGCGGCTTTTCGAAAAAAAATTATTATTATCGTTGTAGCGAGCTCTTGAGTAAGCGTAGGGAGCAAAGCGTCGGTTTCGGTTTGCGGAGTAATGGTTTGTAAATGTAGATTTCTGGCCACGTGAGCTACTGTGTGACGCCGGTCTTACTTTCTTCGTTAATTTATTGGCGTCCGAGATATCTTTTGTCAGCTTAGACAAATCGCCAAATAAGAATGCGGATGATGATGGGACTGTTGTGGCATTGCATAAAGCGGCGTAGTCCATGTGCAGATCTTTCTTCATCGACTGGCGTCTAGTGCTATTCATATCATGCAGGCAATTCATTGCCAAAGCAATGCCGTCGGTGACAGTGGTCAAGAGCTCTTTGTTGTCTGATTGGTTTTGTTTCAGAACAATATCCGTCGCTTTGGTAATAGCGACAACGGCTGCCACAAGTGAATTTTGTGACTTTTGATGTTTCGAGTCCTGTGTGCGGACTTGTGCTGGGAGCTGACTCCAAATGAGTGGATTTACTCGTGGCGTTCTAAGCCCCTCGATGTTCGCAGGCTTAGGATATTGATCCACCTTTGCTTGGGTCTTTTCGTCTGGAATTTTGTCTCTGAGGAGACTATTCACAATGTTAGCCAGTTCCTCATCCACAGCGCTCCCAGTTTTCTCACTCAGATCGAGATCCTGAGCTATATCATGAAGAGCACTAGTGCTCTTTGATTTGTTGTTTCCCGCCTCGGGCTTTTTAGTCAATTCGCTGACCTTTGTATCGAGAGAAACAATTGATTCTCTGTCAGCATCTCCATGCTCCAGTTCGCCCTCTTCGTAGTCGAGGTCCTTGTCTTCGAGGTTAACGGGCTTGCTCAGCTGATCCATTCGTCGGTTCATTGCTTTCATTTCTTGGACTACCGACTGGACCATGCTGGCCAAAGCGTTCATCGTTGGCGTCTTGCCGGACTCGTTGGGGACGTTGCGAGATGCTCCTTCAAGTTCTGTCATGTTCCGAGTTCTAACCTCGTTAGAGCTACGTATGTGTGATGTAAGACCAACTACGTTGGTTCTTAAAGGTTCAAGTGATCTAACTACGTTAGATTCGGCTTTTTCCAGTTGTTTTCTTCTTATTCTTTAGAAATCGACTTGCTTGATGCAACGCACATGTGCAATGACTTGACGCATGCGCTGTGCTATCTGATGGGCTCTCCATGCCTCCGGTCATGTGATAGAATGATAAATAGTACAACCAAAGGATAATCCATAAAGTCATAGACCCTATACAAAGACAGATCACCATAATATAAATATATATATATATATATATATATATATATATATATATATGTATAAGTTAAAGAATTAAGGAGGACGCATCGATTCTCTGTGACTCTGAGGTTCTTTATTTCACTTTCTGTTGTTACATTGGTGTTGAAGATGACGCTTGAAGTAGGCGGTTGTTTTTCAGAGGGCAGTCGTTTTTTTCCTGCAGTTACAGATGTTTTCCACAGAGGGTGTCTTGCTTGTCTCGAGGAATTTTTCTTTTGTGTTTCTTAATTATGGTTTGTAGGTTGTCTGTGTGGCCATAACTAACTTTTATGTTGTTTTTGTTGAAAATCTTGTTGAACCGGTGATTTTTTGGAAAATGTTTACTGACGAGGTTCAGAAACTTTCTGCTGATGTTTGTTTGTATGTTCATGCTGTAGGGTGGATTAAACCAAATTATGTTTCTTTGTCTGTTCTTGCGGCTGTTTTGTATGGTGTGAGTTACAGGTTACTTGCATTCAGTGTTGGTTAATTTTTTGTCCTTTCCACTTTGGTTAAGTGCACTTTCGTAGTGTGGTTTGGCTGATATGTGATGGTGTATTTTATGCAAATTTTAGAAAGAAATGGTAATGTAAGGAAATAAGACCTTCTGATGTTATACATGCAAAGGATATGCTACTAATTCATATTAAAGGCATTTACGGATTGAGCTCAAAGTTCTAGATCTGCCTCTTGATACCCCACATAATTGCCACTCTTGTCTGGAAATGTTACTGTGTGGTGGCATGCTGGCATGATTCTCTGACGGTTTTTCCCCAACACTCCACATGCCCACTAAGAAAATTGTCTGTAGGCTGCCAACGCCACGTTCTAGGGTTAAGAATTGCATTGAGCTGTGCATTGTGGATTGTGACTGATGCTGTGCTCAAAACATCCATGTCCAGGCATATGATGCTAAATTTCGGATGTTCAGTTATACATGTTACACCTATCAGTACCCAAAAAGAAGAAAAAAGGCTTAAAATTTTCTTTTCCTCACTGCTTAAATAATTTGTCTATCAGATGAAAATTAACAACTTGTAGGTGTTATTATAACTACAATCAAGTTTGCAATTGTCAACCTTTTGCCATTCTTAGCAAAGAAGCAAAGAATAATCATGTAATAGGTACAAACCTGAATAGTTGAATTTTTGATTAAGCTCCTTTAGTTCCTGGCAGCAGTAACATTCCTCTGCCAAAGGCATAGGCACACAAACACTGCACAAACACCAAGACCTTAGTCTTGGATTAAAGTTGTAAATGCATTAAAATTGCCTCACATTACATGCCATGTTCCTCTCTGGACTTTAAGCAGCACCATCTGATCCCTGAAAAGGTGACAGATATCATAAAATCAACACATAGCACAAAGCTATGCATAGCGCAAAACTATTACAAAAGCTTTGACCACTACAGAAAAAGAAACACCATAAATCACTACCTATCAACAAGCAATGTAATCTACCTGTGGCTTCTCCTGAAAATTGGTGCAAACATATAAATGAATGTTTATTTAGCCTAAATGCACACTGTTTCCTAGATAGATAGACATAGACTGTGTTTTATTAGAATTACATTGCAGATAAAACTGAATTGCGTAACTTCACATTAATTAATTGTACAAACTGTTTCTGCTTCACATTAATTAAACCTGTTCTTAATTGTACAAACTGTTTCAACTTCACATTAATTAATTGTACAAACTGTTTCTGCAACACATATTTATGAAACTTGTTGCCGCTCTGTCGGTCTTACAACGATTAAGATTGAAATTCCTCTGTTTCCTAAAATTGTAATTAGCCTGATAACTTTTTGGGATTAAAGAATGAATTTTGTTGTTTTTGTTTTCTAAAACTGATCGGAAAAGTGTCGATGTCAACTGTTCTTGGTGGGTTCTCAAGCTTGGGATGTTTGCTTGATCGAGGGCTTCTTTGTATGATACTCCAGGGAAGATGCATGTGAGGGCTCTTTTCTGCACTCTCTCCAGATCGACTTGTAGATATTTCGGAAGTGCATGGTGGAACACTGGGCAGGTGTAGTCTAGGCAGGACCTGATGGTCGCGCAATAGATTGCTACAAGATCGATTGTAGGTACTTTAGCCCGCTTAAGTTGAATCAATTTGAATAGTGTTTTGAGTTGGATTTCTTTATTATTTCTGTAATATGGTTGTTCCAAGTTAGAGTTGAATTAATATTGAGACCAAGAAGTTTAACACACTGCACAGATTCAATTAGTTCCCCGTTCACGTTGGTTGGTTTTTTTCCAAGATTAGTTTTAGTGCTACACAATGTAAAAAATTAATTAGTTCCTCCCATGTGGCAGCTTAGTCAACAAAAC